TGAGTGGCAGTCAGTTTCTCCGTTCTCCAACAATCAACCGCATTCTGGGTAAAACGGAATCAGACAAAGACTGGAACCACGGCACACAGACAGGAGTCAAGGACACAACTTTACTGGAAACGTGAGTTGGCAACCAAAACCTCCTCTCCAAGTTTCACGAGTCAAATTCCCCACTGAGCCTGAACTAACCGCTGTGTCTTCCCCTCACTTACAGTTCCGGTTGAGCAGTGTTCTGAGCAACACCTCTCCCTCTGTTTACTTCTCCAAAAAACCTGTTAAACCTTTCACCTCGTCTCTCTGTTCGGTTTTCTGCATTTTTGGGTCAGAACTTTGAAACATCATGACAAATGAGACAGATGGAGTAATGTAACGAAAGTAATTTGGGATTAATTTGGGATTATTGAAGTATTTCTGGTTCTGATTCCTGGTTGATGGGACAGGTGTTGTGAATGAAACGGTGCCCAGTTTGAAAGATCTCCTGTGTGTCGCTGAATGAGTGCATTGATGACTGAAAGACATCTTCTGCCTCCATTTATCTTTTGACTACAGTGTGTTGAATTCATGTTAATGTGGATTTAAAGACATTTCAATTAGTGGAAAAAAAACTGCAGGGGGGAATATAAAAAAAAAAAGTCTAATCAACCAAAACTTTGGCGACCCCCATGCAGTACCTCTGTGGAACCCCTAGGGGTTGCGGACCCCCTGTTGAAGACCTCCGTTCTAGAGTCGTTCTAGAGTTATTAATGCTGCAAACTCGACCTGAATGAGACACCAATGCTAAATAAAACCCAAAAAGAGACAACCAACATATTGAAGGCTGTGGTTGCTTCCAAAGATGCCTAATTTTTAATACGTTTGAAAATATTCTTTATATATCTGTTTTACTTTGTTATCATGTGTCGACGTTAAAGGGGGAAAAAACATCTGATTCGACAAAATGTTTGAAAAAGTAAAACTGTGTGAAATCTGTCTGGATTGACTCCATCTAGAACTTATGCTTATAAAGCTGTTTTTAAGTGATGTATCTAAAGGTTCTACCTGTAAGTTAAACATTTTTTTACTTACTAGTTTACTGGAGGGCAGGTCTTCCCCAGATTTGGCTCCTGTAATACAAAAAAAAAAAGAGTTTATTTCAACAACCTAAAAATCATGAAGAAAAATACCATTGAAAGTTCAGACCAACCAATACGCTCTAACAGAGATGTTTCTATTTGCTTCCATTCATAAAAGGACTTTAGTTCTGATCTTAAGAAAGTTGGTGTTTTAAAACAGGTGCAAACATGATTTTAGATGCAGAGCAAATCTTTATAGAAAGTGATTTCCTTTTGCATTTTTAGCCGTAAATGTGTGTGTAATTCATTTTTGGTGTGTATGCCTTATTTATTACAGCAGGGATTTTTATCTCCCTTGATTTATTAAAACATAATCATGCACGAAGCATGGTTATGTTTGTTTTGCTTTTTTACTTTTCTTCATAGCTCTAAGAAAGTCTTCCTATGTGAGCAGCGCTATAAATATTAGTATTTTCATTACTATCTTTTAAATAATTATCATTATGATCTTCATCTCCAGGGCTTAGAAACTCAAATTTATTTTTCTCTACTCTTAAACTGCTATTAGAACAAGCGATCTGCTCATTTTAAAGGGCAAAACAAACCGGTTCCATGTCTTAACATTCACACAGATCACCTGCAAAATGGCCACTTATATAAAAAAAAAATGCAAAAGCAATTGAGCCCCTTTTATTATTTGGACTCTTTAAAATCAAACTAGAGTTTTGACTTCAAAAAGATGTAGACCGAGAGAAACTTTACATTTTTAACAAAGCTTTTATTGAAATAAATAAAGTTTTGGTGTCCTGAATATATAGTTGATGAGTTTAATGCTGGAAGGAAATTTTTTCCCTGGGCTGAAACCATAACCCACCTCTCTGCAGGGCAAATAAATTTTCATCTATTTCGAGTTAAGATCACGGAAAGTCTTTTTATGACCAATTAAGTTATTTTAATTTCAGTAGTGTTTCCCTTCACATAAGAGGCCCGGTTCTGTGAAGTCAAAGGCTGAACGGGGCCTTAAGAAAAAAAAATTACATGGACTCTTCTTCCTGTTAACATCAGCAGCACTAAAAGAGTTTCAGTTCAGGTTTGGTTAAATCTGGGTCGAGTTAAATATGTGATCAAATTAAATATCAAACTTCTTGATTACAAAAACCAAACAATGAAAACTATTATTTGCACTTTTACA